AAAAAAAGGGGGGGGGGGGTCCTTTTTATGAATAGTTCATTAAGAAACATGCAAAATGTAGCCCATGGCAACTTCAAGCTCCCAACAGTTTTTCGTTCAACACTATGAAAATCGTAAACTTTGATGCATGAAGCCTCTCGAGAATCAAATAAGAAGAAATCTTCTAACAGGCTATGAAAACAATAATAATAGTTTACATAGAAATACCACTTAAAAAGGAGAGACGGGTATATATAAGCACCACCTCTTTAGGAAATCCAAACTTTTCTCAACGCCAAGACGCCCAACATGTACTATCAGTGGTTTATCTGGTTCGCCGTTACTGTTGAATACCAAAGCATTAGCAAAATCAACATGAATTCTATGGCAATAAAGAGAAACACGTTGCATAGAGCACGTGCATGTATATATGACTCTTGTAGTTTGTACCCAAATAAGGGTTCTTACCTCAGTCTTAGTCGCATTTCATGGGAGCGGAAACGGGGGTGAAAGCTTTCAGAATCAACACCCTTATTCCAAAGACGAAGCTGATCAGCTGCAGATATGAAAAGAATTTTAGATTAGGGCATCCGAGCTGAAAAATTATAAACAAAAGAAAAAGTATCTATATATCCATATATAGAGAATCAGGATAATGTATGTATTTATAACTTCACCTGCTGTTGCACCTGCTGTTAGAAGATCTTTCCCAATGGCGGCTGAGGGCACTAATGTAAGATCAGCAGCTCTGTGAAGGAATCCTGACAATATCATCCGAGTTCAGTATTATACTTTACAACACAAAACGTAACTTGGACACAACACTAAGAGACTAGTTAGATACATACTTATTATCGACCACATGGGCTTGACCAACCAACTAAATGTGTATCGCGGGATGTACCTGCAAATTACAGAAAGTTCAGCACCCAGCTGTTTCTAGAATACTGCAGTTTCTCCAATTGAATATCTCCATAGTATAAGGGTTATAATGAACTTGCAGATGAACGATTTCATGAGGTAAATGAGAAACTAACACTGGCACGTGTGTGTGGTAAGACATCACTATGGGTACAGACAGCATTTTTGCTATTGCTAGAGCACCAAAGACCTGCAAAGTAGTTCACAACTGATAGGTCATTAGCTGCTGATATATTCTTCATTAGTTGGAACCAAATTAAATGGCTTAATTTCTCAAAAGGCTAACCATTATCCCTGGAGATGAAGCGTGTATTATATCAGGCTTAAACCGTGCAACTTCCGAGATTATTCTAGGACTAAGTGCAAGCGAGAGGGGCACGTTTTGGTACAAAGGGCATGGAAAGCTACAGAACAGTAACAAAACCAAGATACACAGAAAAAGCTGAAGTCTTTGTGAACAGAAATTGGAGAAACCCAGTAAAAGCATAGACAATGAAATTGAAAGAAAAGTGATGAATGGATCACACGGACAGATTCGTAGAAAAGGGGAAACCCAGGAATTTGAGTAAGCTATATATTACTAACCTCCTTGATCCAATGACTTTTGCACCATGGAACTCCTGAGGAACGCCTTCGTGTGTTGTCACAACAATAACCTACGAGAAAGAAAAAACCATTACCCAGGAAAAAAACAGGGAACAACTCGTAGCTCAGTGCAAAGGAGACACAAGTTTCTTTCACAAGCAAAGCAAACACACCTCATCTCCCATTTCACGTAGATATTTTATAAAATTCTGGAACCTGTTTTTGTATCCGGAAATGTACCTGCAAGAGTAAGAGAAATCACTTCAATTGATTCATATGCCGATATAGCACCCATCCAAATCAATGAGTTCACAACTGTTAAGAGAGGCAAAAAAAGGAAATCCAGATTCCGAAATTATGGGAAACCAATGACCCAACTGTTCCCACATCTCAAATTTGAAACTTTGAACTCACTGCCTAGATTGATGGTGCTGATTTTGAACGATAAGGCATTGTCAGCGGCCTGAACCCAGTACTCGAAATTGACAAAGAACACAGATCCAGTCAGAGAACTTCTCATTCAAACGTCATACCGACGATCAAAACGACAAGCCGGCCAACAGTGGTCAACTAAACACACAACCCAGCACCAGACCCTTCACACAGGCTTTTCGTCGAACACGAGGTAGCCAAAGCGATTATGAAGAAACCAAATCAGGAAAAACTTACGAAAACGGCGAAGGCTCAACGAAAAGAGCGATTCTCCTCGGCCTGGAGACCATCTCCGAATCAAGAAGGGGAGCTTCAATATCCTCATTCCCACCTTCACTAACCTCCGTGATCGTCATATCGTTGGACCCAGAAGAAGAAACCACTTCCCGTCGAATCTCTTTGCGACAGATCCTACCTTTCTTGCGAGGCAAGACAGTTTGCAACCTCGACCTCGAGAAAGGTTTGGAGCAAGAGAGGCCGAGAGAAACAGGGAAGTTGACAAAAGAACAGCTTGGAGAAGACGAAGTGGTCGTCGCGCTATGAAGAAAATGACGAGAGAGAGAATGATTTGTAGAGAGAGAAGAAAGGGGCATATTTTTCCCCAGCATAAATTAAGAGAAAAATATCCGAATATTTTCAATCTTGTTCTATGGAGAAGGAATCTGAAGAAGAAGAAAACAGTAAATAAAAAGGATATTCGATCTGAGAGAGAGAGAGGGATGACAACGATTTGCGAAAATAAAAAGGCTCACACCAAATTATTTATTAAACAATAAATAAATAAATAAATAAATAAATATTTTTCAAATAAACCAAATAGAAAAACTCAAAATAAACTCAGACACGAACCCCTAATCCAGGTCATATGTTGTGTCACAAATCACATGCTTAGTAACAAAATCACATGTTTAATCTTATATTTAGGAGGTCATTTTGTAGGTTTTTTTACGTATCAAATAAAGCATGGGATAACACCAAATGGTGTATGGACTGACCCCTCATATATTAAAGTTTAATTTGCCTCATATGTAATACGATTATGTGATCTGTTTTCTTGTACAATAGATGCGTAATGGAGTCACCCACAAACAAGATTCGGCATATGGGTATTGTTTGATAAATACGCTTTCCTCCCGACTTATTAAATATCTTTATATTTTTTTCCTTATTTTGTATATTAAAGGAATGGGCACTGAGCCCATATTTGTTTTTAATGGATCGAATAATTATTTTTGTAATGGCTTCGACACGTGATAGATAAAGCCCATATTTTTCACTTTATAGAGTAGAAAAGTATTTCATTATGGGCCTCACTGACGGTCCAAATTAAAAATACAAGGGTTTTTTTTAGCATATTTTACCGATTGTTAAAGCAGTAATTTCCCGAAGATAAGCCCAATACAAAATTAAATAATATATAAAAGTATATTTCTAAATTTATGCAAGTATTTTCACACCAAATATAAGGATATCAACAGTTAACTGTATCTAAAGTCTAAAGCTAAACAACCAACAGGAAAAAGAACCTTTATTTAATTTGATAAACATTACTCAAAAGTTAGCCTCTTAGAATTAAATTTGAATATTTTTTAGTCATTGATTGGGAGATTATGACAGATTTCAGATATTTGTTGGATATAATTTTTAATGAATAAGCAAAATTTCTAAAAAAAAAATCTTATATATTACAAATATAAAATATTCAGCCCTCATAATTCACCTTAAAAATGAAAAGCTAACAAAGAGAAACTCAAAGTGACATTGTCACATTCCATTTTGTTTTACCTTTTAAAAAACAAATCTTCATCATATTTAGTTTTGACGTAACCAGTCATTTCAGTTTTGACCAAGAATCGAACTAGAATCCGAATACTAATATAATTGTGTGTATATAGTTTTGGTCCGACACTCATACTATAATGGCTTTCCATAGAACCTGGAAAATAAAATATGAATCCCAGAATCATCTTATAATATGTATATAATCATTTTAAATCTGAAACCCTAAATCTATTTCGTAAATGAAGATACATTTTGATCATGTAAGTTCTAGAATTGTTGCTCATTCCAAGAAGAAACAGTTATCCCTTTTTGTCTCCAAGGCCCCTCCCTTTTCCATGTCCTTGAATTTTGTCCCACTTGTTACACTCCATACACACTTCTCTCTAGGGCTGGGCGTTTCGGTTCGGTTCTTCGGAACCGGACCGAACCGAACCGTTAAAACGGTATTTTTCCCGACCCGAAACCGTTGTTATTTCCCGAACGGTACCATTTTTAGAAAACCGAATTTTCCCGGAACCGAACCGAACCGAACCGAACTTTAAAAATCCCGAAAAACCGAATATTTTTAAAGGAAATCTAACATTTTTTTTAATAAAACCCGGAACCGAACCGAACCGATACCGAAACCGAACCGAACCGAATACAATAAAAAACCCGATTGATACCTATTTTTGTAAAACCGAAAGAACCGAACCGAACCGATCTATTCCGTCCCGAACCCGAACCGTTTCCCGAAACACCCACCCCTACTTCTCTCCCTATACCCTTCAAAACCACCCATGTACCATCTCTCTCTTTAGTCCCTTGCACCAATCTCTCTCTCTCTCTCTCCCTCTCTCTCTCTCTCTCTCTCTCACACACACACACACACACACACACACACACACACACACACACTTCGCATATTCATCAAACAGAATTTCGCAAAACAAGATGTCAAGAAAAGCATGCAAAAGAGTGAGCTTTAGTCCAGACCCAGAAGCCACGGACGAACCAATCTTCCCGAAACAACGAGGATTCGGCTCCTCACCACAAGGCCGGAGAAGGGTCTTCGTCGGAATTCTCAGTTTCGGCCTCAGAAGATCGCCGGCCAGAAGGTTTCTCGGACGTCTCAGCGGCAGAGTCGCCGAAACGCTGCGTTTTATATCTTTGGGGGAGAGGAAAACGACGTCGTCGTCTTCCTCTTCTTCTTCATGTTCGTCTATTTACCTGGCGAGGTCCAAGTCTCTGGCGGAGTCAGAGTCTCACCGCGCCGAAGCCATCGAAGACTGCATCGAGTTCTTGAACTCATCTTCTCTGTCGAGATCAAACTCGGTCTCCGCGTGTTCTTGTTAGGCGAGTTCATCCGATTCCTTGTCGGGTCGAAATCGAAACAGAGCTCACATATGGTTTTATTATATTGTAAAAGTTCTTCAAGAAGCGAACGAAAAGAAAAAGAAAAAAAAAACTCGTTGAGATAGCTTGTGTTTCGTCATTTACTATAAAAAAAAAAAAAATCTGTCATTCTTGATATTCTTGTTCCTAATTTAAATGAACATATGAAGCTGACGACGACTCAGCTTCCAAACCCATGAATCAATGACATCATAAATGCAAGAAATTGTAATATAAATAAAAAATCATATAGTCGAATTCATTTCCATGTCTAAATGCAACGTTTAGTGTTTTGGTTGGAGAAATAAGAGAAGCAGCGACAAAAAGGAGGGATAAATAATATTTTTGTCTTGTTTTTTTTTCTTGTCTGGCTTCGTCGTATCAAAACATGACATGTTTTAAATTTTTGTAGGTCCATGAAGGGCTGTGTATATTAATAAACCCTAAGGATCCAACGACAATTTTGTTCAAAGACCATACAAGACAAACAACGGCTGTCTTTGAGCATTAAGGTTGCCAGTTGTGGTTAGGTTGAGACATTGTAAAATGTCGGTCGAATTCACTACCTCTATCTTAAATTTCTTGAATTCAAATCATACGTTTTTTTAAGGGTTTGCCAAAAAATTGTAATCGAACCCGTGGATTCTGTTTGACAAAAATTAAAATTTCCTTAAAAACAGAATACAAGCTTGATTGGTGTCACTTTGAGTGTGCTTGCAAACGCATCCAAAAGCAACATTGGTCACGCAGCCTTTAATTCTTTTTGACCCACAACACCATTTTCACCATTTTCACCAGCAGGAAATTCCAATAAAAGAAAAAAAATATATCTAATTAATGAATATAACATGAAAAGAATACAAAAAAGGTGAGAATAATAGTGTTTCCAGGAATCCAAGGAAGAAGGAAAAAAAAAACTTTATTGTTTCAATTTTAAGAGTCTCGGATACCTTGGTTGGAAGCTTTCTTGAGCTGAAGAGCTCGTCGATAAGGAGGTGCAATGGGGGGCTGGACCGGGTCCAGGCTCTGGTACGAACCCTCAGCGTCTTTGGGGAGAGGGTAGGACCGGTCGGAATCATAGCCGGTAAGATCCCCGCATGCCAAAAAGGGGATGTACACCTTGTTGGGTCCTTCAAGCCACCCACTACTGCAATCTGCCAAAAAAACAGGTTTGATTTGGTTTAGATTCGAAACAAAACAGAGTTTCGAGAGAGACGGATAAGAAGATTTCAGATACCAAAGAATGTAGGGGAAGCATGTGTATACACGCAACGCACAGAAAGCAGATTCCTTTTCTTACCAGAATAAGCAGAAAGAAATAATGGGCATTTCACGAAAGAGAGCATTTGGGTGAGTAGGTTGAGAAATGACAGTTGGCCATGGACTGTACTATAGCACAAGCACAAGCTACCTTGTTGTCTCCAGTTGAAAAAGAAGATTTGTAAAGATGGGATATGCTTCTAGAAGAGAAAAAGTATAATACTTGTGCAACAAAAAATCAAGTAGTAAAGGCTTAATATATCCAAGAGAAAAACAAGAGGCATTCATGGAAGACTGTGAGGTTGTTTGTAAGAATGAATTCTCCTGCTGAGGAGGTATGAAAAAGATACTGAAGGGCAGGCACTTACCGAGATCACTTCCACCCGAAGGGCTTCCCACCATCTCCAAGAGACGATACAAATCACTCGGGTTAAATCCTTCGGGAGGGGAATAATTTTCACAGACCGCAAAAGCCTCTGTAAAATAAGATAGGAGGAGCTCAGCTTCTCTAGAAAGCAGATCGTAGCATGGTTGATGGAAGAGAAACTTGAGTGAGCAATCATGCCATGTGAAAGTTACTCTTACCTATGCTAGAATTGCGGCTGCTTTTCGGTTTTGCAAAAGTTACTGTTGGAAAAAATAACTTCAGCTGCAGAAATAAACAGCTAAAATGTATAAATGATTTACCATCAGAAACTGTAACAATATCAAGAGGTTCCATGTCAAAAGCTAATGCCATGAGTATTAACTTATATCCTGTATCTAGACGCAGATCCATCTAATCTTTAACACTTTTATGAATCCACAAGCATAGGAAGGAGATATTTCATACTAGACCACGCTCCAGGGTCTTAACTGGGGGTTAAGGGGGATAAGGCTAGAAATCATACGTTTCACCAAATCATATAAACTTACCTGACAGTATAAGAGACTCGTATCCTTTCCACGGAAGATCTTAGCAATAAATTTTCCGCCTTCCCTAAGAACGTGGGTAACAATTGTTAAGCCCTGAAAAAAATGGTGTTATTGTTATTATCCATGACATAAAATCTTCTGGGAAATGCTAATTTCTTAGTCAAACATGGCACATGAATTATGCTGAATCAAAGGCAGCATGAGTGAGAACCATGACTTACTGCGAGTATGAGTTGAGATTGGACAAATTCATCCATGTCGTGCAAACCGGTAACTGCAAACCAAAATGCAAACGCATTATTTTATTGGCATATAAATTGTGAAACAGAAGTGAGTAAGCAAGTTGAAAGAAAACCGCATTTACTGTCTTACCATCAGGAGCGCCATCGCAAACAACCAAGTCAGCCTTGCAACCATCAAAGTGTCTAATGACCTTGACAAATGCCAAAGAAAAAAAAGGTCAAACACTGTTTGTAAACACGAGCAAGAAGGAGCACATAATATCACTCTAAGGTTTGTAACTACAAATATGGAAAGGCTACAAGATTTAAAGGGGAAAAGAGAGAGGGTGTTAAGCAGGGAATGGCTAACTTCTACAAATGTAGGTGGAGAATTCTCACCACTTCTGCAGTGCGAGCATTGGTTATGTCCCCTTGAACTTGAATAACACCTTCTATCGGAGCCATGGGCTGCAAATCTATGGCCACTATAAGAGGAAGATCACTGTCCCTGCAAGTAATGAGTCGATTTAAAAACATTGACTTAACTGGACAATTTTCAATGCAACAAAAAAGTTTGACTTTGCCAAGAATAGTGAATCAAGCACAATTAAAAAGCACCCTAACACTGTGATTCAAGCAACCAATGGGCCTTAATTTCAATGCTAATTTATGCACTGTAAGCATGATAAGTTGCATACTTGTTACAACTGTATACCGAACTATGCTGGAAAAGGTGTAAGAAGAAATAAATGTCAACATTTACATGAATCCTTCACAACAAGCCCAAGGCATTACACTTATGAAACTTACTTGGAATCGGGCAAAGATTTGGCTGGAAGATATAATTTACGACTCAGGACCTACAAATCAGAAGCATGTACAAATTCGTATACATATACTAAAACACTCGATATGACTGAACAACAATCCACTCAATAACACATACCTGACTCCAGCTACCGGGTGCAGCACATAAATCCACCACCCGCTTCACTCCTGAATAAAGTTTTCAAAAACAATATCGTGAATTTTCGCATTACTGAGCACAAAAAAGCACTGGGTTCATTGCTAGAATGGGTAACAAGTAAGTTGATGTATCGGGATGATGGTTCATGAGAGATAATCTCCAAAGCAAAGGGATTCAAAGAAGACCTTCAAAAATGTTGAACTCTTCATCTATCTGAAGAAGCTTAAACGCACTTCTGGCGCGCCAGCCCTCTTCTTTAGCCTTTCGGTAGTAGATATCCTGTTAAAAAAAAAAACCCCAATTTACTCAAGGATTTATCCGTCACGGCTGAAGCATCCCGAAAACTTTATGCCCCGAGAACAAATGAAAATGCAATCTAAACATACCCTTTTGTCCCGCGACGCTTTTCCCATATCTTTTGCAGAAACGAACTTTTAGTCTGCTGCAGTAATCAGACACGCAGCTAGTGATCAGATGCAACCAATCAAGTTCATGAACAGTTTGAGAAAACTGAGGGGGAAAAGAGGAAATTAGAGGAAAAGGGTGTCTATGAGGCATTTTCTCGAACATGTTATTGGCATACATTACATATCAACAAAAGAAACACACGTACCTCGGAGCTGGTCAAAATAACTTTGCAGTACGGGAAAAGCAGAAGAGATGGAACGGAGAAGGAGGAGACTTCGCGCGAATCAACTGATACTGAAGATGCAAAATACAACAAAAGATTCTGGAGAATTCAGGGTTTCCTCGTACTGTGCCCTAACTTTTAACTAATTGAGACCCAATAACGTGGTTTGGCACTTGATAGGTCATCTTTTTCTCGTTAGTTGGGCCTTATTGGGCCTATGACGTTACCCATGGGCTTTGCACGCCGCAATGTCTTTCTTTCCTGAGAAGCAAAAGCAAATTTGTTCTCGTGCAACAAGGTGTTTGTCGTCAAGGAAATAGCACGTGACATACCAAATTTTATGCGATTCATTATAAATATGAAAGAACCAATATTCCAAAAATATCTTAATTAAATACAAAAAAAAAAAGACGAAAAAAAACGATGGTCAACTCTCCATCACTCTATGAAGAGAGAGATTTTAAAATAAATAAATACATTACTCTCTAATCCGTCCATAACAATACCCGCACGTGTGTATATATATATATATATATTTTCATATGATATATCACCTAAGAATGTTACTGCTGTATCAAAAGAAGTAAAAAAATTAAATCATCTGGGAGCCATATGAGTGATGCTTCCAAAGCTAAAAACAGAGGTGGAGGAAGGGTGATGACGTGGACCAGCTTTCCCGTTATAGCGTTGATACTGAGACGAGGAGCTCTCCTCGGAGCTGCTGACGTGGCGGCGGCCCCTGTAGACACCTGGCTCTGTCAGCGCGCTGTCGTTGAGGTTAATCTCTTTCCTCGAGAGCATTTCGACCACTTGCTTCATGTTCGGTCTCTTCTGGGCGGCGGCCTGAGTGCAGAAGAATGCTACTTTGATGAACCTTATGACTTCTTCCTCTGGATACTGCGTCAGTTCAGGGTCTATTAACTCTACCAGTCTCCCTTCTTCTCTTAGTTTCCATGCCTGCAAACAGGAACAGTTAGAAAAAAAAACATGCCTGGTCCGTTCTATAAACGAATATTTAGACATATTCGCATGGGTGAATAATATGAACGCTGCAGGGTAGAGTGCCATCTTCAACCTCAGCCGCATGAACAGTGAACACAGTCCTACCTCCACAATCCCATGGCAAAGTGATAGTTTTTTTTTTCTGAGATGGAGAAAAAAAAGGGTTTTTACTTCTGGGTTTTGCGAAGCTTACCCATTCGACAAGAACCGAGAACCCGTCTCCGAAAGCTGCCTTGCCGCTGCTACAGCCGCTTATTATCTCGAGCACGAGCACTCCGAAACTATAAACATCTGCCTTTTTTGTCAGCTGTCCCAAAAGAGCATATTCCGGGGCGAGGTAACCGCTGTAAGTTAGACCTCAGATTATGTCAGAAGATGAAGACTGAGTTTGAGTTTCGAGCATTAGGTTTCATAAGACGATATGGACTCATCATCCTTCTTACAAAGTTCCAGCGACCCGGGTGCTGACATGAGTGACGTTGTCCGGGAAAAGCTTCGCCAAACCGAAATCTCCAATCTTGGGAGAAAAGTCTCTGTCCAGAAGGATATTACTCGCCTTGATGTCTCGGTGTACAATGTGGGGTTCGGCTTCCTCGTGAAGAAAGGCTAGTCCCAATGCTGTGCCCAGACAGATCTCTGCTCTTTTCGACCAATCAAGCTGCACGTATTTACTCTTCGAACCTAAAACATCAGAAACCGTAAAAACCTCTGAACATATATCCAAGAGCCACCAGAAAACAACAGATCAGTACCGAGCAAGACACTGGAAAGGCTGTTTCTCTCGAGGAATTCATAGACAAGAATCCTATTGTTCCCTTCCACGCAGCAGCCGATGAGTTCGACGAGATTCGGATGATGAATGTTTGATATGGTGTTAATCTCGGTCAAGAATTCTTGTGTCCCTTGTCTAGATTCTGCCGAAAGGGATTTCACAGCTACTTGGGTGCCATCCCTCAAGACTCCCTGCAAAAAAATCCGAACAATCATCACTCATTTCGCACAAATGATGGAGAACGTGAATGAAGATTAAGCGCAAAGATCATCTCACACGGTAAACAACTCCATAGCCACCGCCTCCGATTCTATTTGAAGGGTGGAAATTATTAGTGGCCGATCTTAAAGAACTGTGTGAAAACACCCTCACATTGTTGGTGACAATCTCTGGCCATCCATAAGTGTTCAGAACAACAAAAGCTTGTGAGATCAGCGAACGAAAACAGAACAAGTGACTAAAAAAACTTCCTCAAAAACGCCATCAACATGTCAATCGCCCAAACCATAGCTGAATTCTGCAGATTCTTAGTTATTCATCAAAACCCTAATATGAGATTTTTCCTGAATTCTATAATGTACTTATCGAAGTTCTAATTCACCAGAGACAATCATTCATCGAATTGTTTACCTTGCGCCTCTCTTTGACCAAGACCATCACTTCCTTTGCACATATCGAAAACTCCGAAACAGTTGCAAAGCATCACAGACCCCAGAAAATTCCACCTGCGTCACCCAATAACACATGAATCCGATCAGCACCGAAATCCGCGAGTTCAAACCCAGGAAAGAAAGTATAAGAAAAAAACCGAAATTGGGTCGAGAAATTTCGAACGGAAACTGCTACCCGTCTCCTCGGTTTCGTCTTGTCGTGTGCAGAGGGGCAGTCTAGGTCAAATTTTGGAAGGTGGGAGAATTTTCGTGGCTTTGTGGGAAATTTACACATCAAACATGCGAAAACCTCAGAACAGTGGTGGAAAAAATGAAGGGTTCCATTTTGTTTCAGGTAATTTTCAACTTCCCGTGAAGTTTTTCATAGATTATTGAAGAACGAACGAAACGCTAAGAACCTTAAAGGAACTCATGAACAGAGACAGACAGAGAAGAGAACGACGTTAAAAGGAACTCCTCTCTCTCTCTCTCTCTCTCTGCTGAAAGAGACCGCTTCACGACGCCTTCAAAGTCTGGATTTCAATACTCGCAGAGATTATTTTGCTTTGATGAGTCTCTCGGTGCACCAGTGTGTGGAATGATTAGTGGAATAATAGTTTAATTAAATGTTTAAATCCCAACTAATCTTAATTTGCACCAGATGATTTGTACATTGCTGGACTAACGACAGAACGCACCACTTATGGCTTTACCATATGACTATTATAAATAATAGTATACTATAGAATAATAGAATAAGATTAAAATGGATTGATTGGAAAAAGTTTAAATGGGTTGACAATAACACATGTTTAATGATTGTATATCTTTATCATTTTTTTATTTATTTTTATAAGTCAAAGTTTTAAAAATAAAATTAAGAATCATGTTTAAGCTCGTTAATCAAACCACACGGCACATTAATTGACCAAGTTGCCGCCGCCGCCGTTCAAACTACTTTGCAGTAATTTTTCTTCTTTTTTCCTTAGCTGTTATGTTGTTAGAACCTTTTAAATTATTATTATTATTATTATTGACGTCATCATTCCGCACAGCTTACGCAATTAATAGAATTTTTTAATAACGAGTCCAAGATCAAACAATTTGTACAAAAATTAGATCTCTTTATAACTCATAGAAACTAAAAATAAATATAAGTTAACAAAAAATTTATTCGTACAAAAATTAGATCTCTTTATAACTTATTGATATAACATCTGATTTTTGTAACTACATCAAACTTATTACAGGTTTTCAAAATCAAATACGCATTACCACCTAAGTTTTTTTTTTTTGGAAAACATATTGTAATTATATGATATAATATTGAAATAAAATAAATACCATCGATAAAGATTATGGAGATTTGTCTCCTTCTGACTTTAGGACCAACAAATATGCAACAGCATGCGTTTGATAATTTTTAAAGTAAACACATATGCCTTCTAATCGCTTAATCTGTTCACGCTTTATATAAAAAGATTATATTAGTTACAATATGATGTGGATACCAGTCATATATATATCAATGTGATCCTTATTGTTTATATTTGTTATGATATATAGATTTATCTAACTATTTACATTTTTTATTGGATTTAAAAAATCATGAGATATTTTTGTTAGACACATTTTCTATTTTGTGTAGATATCATGGTATTTAATTAGATATATTTAGTTATTATGGATGGTTATCTATGATATAAATTCAGTTGGATGTGAAATATATATATGCAGACTTATTAACTTCTTCCAAATGATGTCTAATTGGTTCCTTTGAAAGAAATTCCATGTTGAACATTCATATCTAATAATTATATATGACGATTAAATGTGTATATCTCGTACTAGTATTTGACAATTTTTTAATGGGACATGTTATAATCTAGTCTTTGATATTGGTAGTTCCACTTGCATTATATAGTATTCGATGATATTTTAGAAAAATTGTCTATGATAATACTGTCTCTAATAATCATATATTCGATATTTTTTTGTATCAGTAATATCAAATTCAATGGAAGATGATGTTGATCCCAGGAAATCTTGAATCATTTTGAGTTGGAATATGACTTTTATATGCGGAATAATAATAACCTCTAGAAGAAGTTTTGGCCTTGAAGAATTAATGTGGTGACATATTTTTCGGAGGAAGACAGCAAGTAGTTGGTATAGGAAAAGTAAAAATGGCACGTTGTGCATTTCGAAGAGGTCGAATTAATACTCAAAAGATCAATCAAACCACAGTATCACACGGTGAGGGTAGGTGTCATCTATTCAAATGCAAACTCTAACACACATCACTTTCACATTATCACGTACATATATTTTTTTTTAACGGTGGAAAACCCATCGCCACAACCATTCGGACCGGACACCCGTTACAACATCTCAGATAGTAAACCCTCGACTCCGCGTAATAGCTGGCAAACTCACGGAATAGATAAACCAATCGAATCTGACCAATCCAAGGAAAACTCAGACTTCAGAAAAAAAATCAAACCGACACTATCGTATAAAAGGATTTATCATTTTTTAACGGTAGAAGACTTCCCCCACACATATATATATATATATATATATATATTTATAATGCTTTTTCTATAATGAAGTCATTAAATAAAATATTCGATCTCATAACATTGGATTTTAGTTACATAAATCAATATCTGATTTTTTACATGTGCATGTGTGTTGAATTTCACTAGGTTATGCGTTACAGAGTTTTCCAAAGGAAAAACCAGATTGAAGATGAACAATGGCCTCGGGTCTTTTTTTAAACAAAAAAAAAACAATCTCAAACGAATTTAACCAACTTCGTTTGAGTTTGTTTTTTCATATAAAAAAAAAATTAACCAACTTACAATAAAAAGACCAAAATGCCCTTTACTCAGTCGACCTGTTCTTGAACCTTCTAATCTATTCCAAGGCTTCCTCTGTTTTGTTCTTCTTGTTGAGAGATCTTGCCAATTTTCTCTGACCAGATTCCAACTGCAAGATAGTTTGACTATTACTTCAAATACTCAGTCTTTCCCTCCAAACACCAAATATCAGATTGATTTATCCGTTAAAATTTTCAAAATGACGCAACACCAATTTGATGGATAATAAAAGAACAAAGATAATTAAAATCGCATTATACCGTCCTTTTTTTTTATTCAAATAAAGGATGAATAGGCACAAAGAAAAAGAGAAGAAGACAGAGACCGTGCAGAAATCATTAGGATTTCTAAGCAGGAGAAAAGTTGTCTACTGAGGATTAGGGGGACGGCTGTTGGCGGCGGAGACACGAGAACCCCACTGGAGCAGCTCTTTGCTTGTGTCGTCCTTGTGAACTATCACTTCTATGAAACACAAGCTGTCTTTCTTCTGGCATGTCGCTGTCTCAATCGCCTCCACCAGCTCTTCTTCGCATCTTACCTGCCTCAATTCAACACCCGTTACATTACCACCAGAATATCGATTCATTGTTTTCTTTTATCAGATTCTTGATTTTTTTTTTTTAATATCTCACCTTGGCCGTCCAGCATTTGCCTTCGCCGTTGTGTATGGCGTCCACGAGACCAGTGTAGTTCCAGTTCTTGATCACGTTGTAAGGGCCGTCGTGAATCTCCACTTCAATGGTGTAACCGCCGTTGTTTATAAGGAAGATGATGCTCTTCTGCCCGTTTCTGAGCATCGTCGATATGTCCTGAGCCGTCACCTGGAAACTCCCGTCTCCGATGAAAGCCAATACTCGTTTCTCCGGAGAAGCCTGGGCGTACCCGAGAGTAGCACCCACCGACCATCCGATCGACCCGTATTGCATCTGGAACTCGTACCCGCATCCCTTTGGTAGCTTCAGCTTTTGGCAATTGAACCAAGAATCTCCGGTCTCAGCGATCACAGCGGTTTCGCTAGACAACATCTGCTGAATGTGTTGGAACATGATGTTAACCGTCAATGGCTCTTTCGGATGGCACTTCAACGGCTTCCCTTCAGGCACAAATATCCTACAGTAATTTTCATACGCCGTTGCGTTCCTCTTGATCCGTTTCGCAAGCTCCCTCAGGAAATCGCTCATCAGAATGCACCCGAAAGCCGGTCCATTCGCTATAGTGACACGGTCCGGTTGGACAATGATCGCCTTCTCCTGCTTGAGGAGGAGAGAGTACCCGACCGAGCTGTAGTCGTTGAAGATCGGGCCAACGAATATATAGGCGTCTGCAGATTCAACGATCTCTGAGCAGAAGGGTGTGCTCACAGCTCCCCAGTAGGTTCCAATGAAGTGAGGATGATGCTCAGGGACAAGGCCCTTAGCAGAGGGCATCACGGCCAGGGCATACCCTGACGCATCAGCCATATCAACAAAGGCATCGGTGGCCTTAGCCACTCGCAGATTGGGGCCACCCACCATGACGGGTTTGACGGCCTTGTTCAGAAACTCAAGGGTTGCATCCACCGCAGCTTCGAGACCCATCTTGTTGCTCAATCTGGATGAATACAGGTTGCGGTAAGATTCCTAGACATGTGGTTTTTTTTGGGATTTAATGAACAAATGGGATAAAAAGAAAAAGAAATAAAGAGAGGCTTACTTGGGCGAGAGGGAAAAGGGGACGGGGTCGCGGCTAAAAGTGCGATGAGGAATTCCGGCCAAGTTACAGCTGATGCTGATGTAGACAGGTTTGCTCTCCTTCAGTGCCGTCGATATCGCCCTGTCTATCTGTTCGTGTGCGTCCTCCAAGTTCGTCACCATTGCCTGAAAAATTGGAACGAAGATTTTCAAGATTTGCAGAAAATGAAGAGACAGATAGCTCATGAATCGATTCAAATGCACATTTCTTCAACCAAACTGGGCATTAGGGTCTCTGTCACGGTGTCTAACTAATCAGAGCCAGAGAGATCGATCAAAATCGGAAACGAACTAACTGTTGTACACGCATTGTTCACGAACAAAGATACTGAATAACATAGTCGAGAACCAGAAAATATTATTTTCGATTTAGATTTGTAGTTTACCTGATAGCAAGTGACAGTTCGGAAGCACCTGAGCTCTTGGCTGAAATTAGGCAAACCAATGGTGTGATGAAGAATCCTGTTGGTGCCATAATCGTTCGAGTTGGGACCTCCGACGATACAGATCACCGGAAGATTCTCACTGTACGCGCCAGCGATCGCGTTGAGGACGCTGAGTCCGCCAACGGTGAAGGTCACGACGCAGGCTCCGACGCCGCGATTCCTCGCGTAGCCGTCAGCGGCGTAACCGGCGTTGAGCTCGTTGCAGCAGCCGATTAGATTGAGCTCCGGCTCCGCGATCAAGTGGTCGAGCAGCGTCAGGTTGAAGTCGCCGGGGACGGAGAAGACGTCGGTGACGCCGACCTGGACCAGACGCCGTGCCACGTGGCGGCCAAGGGTGGCGTCGGAGGGGCCGAAGGCGGAAACATAGTTCTGGATGGTTGAAACTGCGCCGTTCGGGGGGCTGCCGACCTCACCATGCGCCGGCTTGGTCGTGTTGATGGATCCGATCTTGGTGTCCATGGATGATGGAACTCACTTGCTCAGTGGAGGTGGAAGAGAAGTATGGGGTTGTAAAATGGGAACTTTGATATTTTAGGGGCCGAAGTAGGAATTTTTTGAAACTTGCTTTGTGTGCTTAGAGAGCGAAAATGGAGGGACTTTATAGGGGGGGGGAGTAAATGGTGTGGTGCAGTGGCGGTTTTGGAATCTGAAGGCGTTCCTGAGGTTCCGTTGGCTTGTGGCAAAAACGAAATTAAGTAGTATTTGTAAGGGCAATCTGCTATAGAGCTTTGGGAGGGTTGGGAAAGACGCGTGCGGTTTACGCACGTATGTGTGAGAATACTCTTGTGTTCAAGCACCATTTAATAATACGCTATAATTTATAATTTACTGACAATTTGTAGGGACTTTACCATATGACTATTATAATATGCCGTAGACCCCTATTACATTATTCATTGTTCATACACGCGAGGCTCATGCTAACATTTTCTATCGTATGATTTCGTTTAAAAAAAGGTGTAATGTAATATTTAATCACAAACACATATTTATATATGGCATTGTAAATCCAAATTACTTTTACGTTATTCCAACCCTATGCATGCACTGCAAATTTTGAGAATATTACCAATAAGACAAAAATGTAACAAAATAAAACCATTGCTTAATAATTATCAATAAGGTGTTAGTTTATAATTACGTTTAAATTGATGAAATAGTTACAGAAAACAAGGGGATCTCAAAGCTAATCCGCGATATCTACTTGTTCGATTGTTAGGGTTAAATAAATTAGGAAAACTATTTTTATTTTTTGAAATTATAATGCAACAATATTATTCGTATCTTAGTATATAATTTGGTTTTTGGGGCGCACGTCGTTAGCTCGATACCATTACAAAAACAGTATTGAGTGGGATCGTGACGACAACCTGAATCAATAATAGAAAAGACTTTCAAGTAAATAATTCAAGGTGGGCTCTATCAATGATCGCAAGAGTCTGATATGTTGTGTACATAAATACTCTCACGATTAAACTCGTGGCCCCTTGTTTCCGACTCTTAAACGAAACCCCTATTAATTCCTAAACGCGCGTTCTTCTCTATCCCAGGGGTAATTTCGTCTTTCAATGCAGAGACCAGCGAGCCAGAGAGGGCTACTTCTTTTTTTTTTTTTTTTTTTTTTTTTTCAAAAATTACTAGTTTTTTTTTTACCAAGTGAACGGTTATAGTTTTTTAAAATCGGAAAAACCGAAAATAGATTTAAACGAACCGAATAAACTATCCTTACTTGTTTTCTTTTGGTTTGATGGTAATCCCATTAATACAATAAAATATATAAATTTTGTAAAAGCAAAACAGCTTTCAAATGTTTAATCAACCATCGAATCCAACGCTCGTTTCATGAATATTTTTATTTTTATAATGGGTTTAGTGCACTTTTGAGAGGAACAGTAACGATTGCTGGTTAAAGATCATCAAGCACCTAGAAAATCAGGATGATCTCTTCACGGTAATAGCCTTTGAGAACTACCTCGTCATTTGTTTCATCACACCCGGTTTCGTAAACCGACGGGATTTGTCGTCGGTAATTTCCTCCCCCAACTTGTGATCCCCCGTATTATGCATGCGTAAGTGAACACGAAAATGACATGTAAATTGTAATAAAGACATATTATCACTCTCTTCGGTAGTTAACTGTTTTACAGATTCCGCACAAAGAATATTCCTTTTCTATTCTGTTCTTGTTTTGTTGGAACATATAAGAATATCTTTATGTATGTATGTTCATGGAATGCTATTGCCACCTGTTGATGTGTATCTGCAGTGCATATATATATATATATATATATATGTAAGGCAGTGTGTGTTTATATAGAAATTTCCCTCCGCGTTTGCGTTGGTATCTTCAGCGTTCCACAAACGCGATTTCTTGAAATAGAAATAAAATCACACAAACTAGAGCTAATACGAATCTCAATCAGTTCTGAGTAACAAATACAATTTGTAAAAAGAAATCTCTATATATTCTTTTAATCTGATTGATGGGTTATGGTATGCATCGGATACCATACATTCTGAATTATTACCTCATAAATACGATTTATTCCCGGGAAAAACAATCCATCTTTAAAAAATTCAAGCCCCTCAAGAAGAATTTCCCAAGCTTGAACCCGAATTTCAAATGGGGACAAGCAAAAAATGGAATGTCAGAGAACAAAAAAGAAGAAATTTGGGTTGAGAGGAGAGAAGAAGAAGAAGAAGAATACCTAAATGGGAGAATCAAGAAGATATCTCTTCTCATAAAGACCAATGACCTGATCAGCAACCGCCCACATGATGGCTTGACCCGGTGGAATCCTCATGAGCCGCGGCAAGAGCCCTTTCCACAATGCCAATAGCCCTTCCTCTGCATAAATGGTCCTTATCGCGTGAACCATCCCTCTATATTTCAATCCACCAGCCCCATCTCGGCTTTGAGCCATCAGCCTCGTCTTGACCACGTCGAATGGTCCGGTGCAGATTGGACCGGCAGTGCCCGCCAAGAAGCCAGAGATCATTGACTGCCATGGCTGTAGCACTTTGCCATCCCCTTCATGTTTGTGCCATAGGACCACGTCAAAGGCGTTCTTGGCTGTGAACATAGCGGCTTGGTTCGTGCCGTTGCGCATTACAGTTGGAGCAGCTCCTGCCCATAGTCCGAGCACTCCTTCCTCTCTAATGATGGTTCTAGCACAGTGTATGGGTCCCTTGTACTTGAGGAGATCCGTGCTTAATCCTTTTTGTTGCTGAAGTCTAATTTTCACAACCTGGAGAGAAGGGAGAATAATAACTGTTCCAGGTTGGAATGGAAATTGATGTTTGAATCGCTTGCGATGAAACTGTGATATCAAGATAACGTTCAACAACTCGCATTCTTCGAAGCAATACTTGCAACTGGAATGAAATTTTTCTACCAGATGCTCTTGAGATAGTTCTACCACAGCCCAATTTAACATTACTCAACTTTTGTCATCTGTAAACTTTATAATGATCGGTACTAGTTGGCCTCTGGAATCACTTAACAACCTCATTCCGCCCTTAGAAGGTCCGATTGTTTTGGGAAGCAGGATGCAATATCCTGACAGTTACTTGGGAACCCAGGACAAAGTAATCATATGTATGAAACTAAGACTCACTGCCTGTCCACCTGATGTTTCTACTGACATGAACATATTCGACTTTGGTAAGTACAATCATAACTGTCATCCATACTAACCAGAAGCAGAATGCTCCTCTATCCTAGATTCCTAGTGGAGAAATCTAATGCCCTAATCAAAGAACATATATTTTTTAACACCTCAATTGCTACAGTCCGAGAAAGACTACCCTTTGGAACCTGGTCATCAAAACAATTGAGGTTTGAGGCATAAAGAGTTGAATGGTCACTAGCCACATTCCTGAGTTTCACGAGTTTTCCTTAATCGGAAGACTAAGCTGCGGCCAGCATTTACATATAGTTCAATACTAATCATTCTGAAAAAGCGCCTCTATCCACGGAAAACAGTAGCTCTTCCCCTTTCTCTATCTGGCATCACTCTTGTACCTAATATATTTCAGGTCCGACCCACTAGCTATTATTCAACCATAGCAAACAAAAGGCACCAAATAAAACAAGAGAATGACTTGGATTCGACCAACTTTTGAGCAATGATGAGTGCGGAAAGGCAAAATCGCTGACCTCAAACGGCGTGACAATGGCGAGAGCCTCGAGGACGCCTGCGCCAAACCCGGAGAGAAGACGGCCGCGGTTGCTTAGCTTCCCGGTCTCGGAGTCCTTGAACGCGGACTGGAAAACGGCGTTGGATCCCATCCGGAGCGCGTACTTGAGCGTGAGGTGAGTCGCGAACGGCGTCAAGCCCTTCCAGAGCGCCCGAACGCCCTCCGTTCGGGCCACCGTGGAGCCGCAGTGCACGATTCCCTTGTACGCCCCGCCCCGGTCGAGCTGCAGGCGCGTCTTGATGACATCGATCGGCTGCAGACACGACGCCTCAACGATTCCTCCGAGCGAGCCCGACACCGCCTTCATGTACGGCGGAATCGACGCATTCTTCGCCGGCGATGTCGTCTTTGCCTCCTCCGGTTTCGCCATAACCGGAGACAATCTAGGGCTCCCTCTATCTATCTCGCCGAGAAATTAGTCGTTTAATTATCGAATCACAATGACCGGACCATCTTTTTCCAAGTTTAAAATGACAAAATATTCCAAGAAATTTCTTCATCGATATATATATACATGATACAGAGCCGAAGCTCATAAATTTCAGTCGATAAATAAGTGAAAAACGGTTAAATCTAGTGGAGTGTTTGTGCTTCATTCTTACAGATTCGTTCCTTTATGGGCCGAGCTTCATGAGTTTTTCTTATAGGCCCAATTCGAATTCTGGCCCATTCAGACGAGCAACGCCATGGAGCCTTTTTCTTTTTTCTTTTTTCTTTGTTTTTTAAATTATAATAATCACTACACACGAGCACCGAATAAAGACAAAAAAGGAAGGAAATGACAAATGTGCCACGTGTCACGTGGTTATTGGATAGACACCACGCCACCAATGTGTATTAAGGATGAATAGTGAATAAACGTGCGTTATCGACGAAAATGCGTGACACGGATAATATCATATATCTGTCGAAAACGACCGGTAACCTACTACGCTCCTCCACGTCCCCTTGAAATCTTTATCCAATTCCAGTCGAATCCTACTCGAATCCCCACTGAAAAATACATCAAATGAATAGCGCACGTGTGAAAAAGCGTATACTATTACTGTAGAAAGCCAGTAAATACGTGAAAAAATAAATCAAAATTAAAATATGCAAATAATGGTAATATTGTTGTATATGAGAAAATAAAGGGGTACTGTCGTCTTTTCGTCTCCGTACGTCTCTTGCCTATAAATATCATCAGGCGCCGCACATGTGCAGAAGAGACCACTCTGGCCTCCATTTCTCCTCGATTGTAGGGTTTTCTCGTTTCCCTACTCTCGGAGAAAGTCCAGACAATAGTGAAGCGAATGCGGAAATGGACAATTACGCTCTTCATCTAGCCATGGCGGCCCTCGTCGGAGCCTCCTTCGTGGCAGTGTCGGCGTATTTCATGCACAGGAAGACGCTTGCCCAGCTCCTAGAGTTCGCCAAGTCCGTCGAGAGAGACAGCGACTCCGACGATGACTCACCCCGGCGGCAGCTGAAGAAACGGCGCGGCGGTTTGCGTCGGAAGACCGACGGTCACTATCGGCAAGTCTCTGCTTCTTTACCGGACGTGACGGCTATTTCCGGCGGATACGGCGGAGGGGACGGGAAGCGCCCCAATGGCCCTCCGGTCCTTGTCGATGGTATTCCTTCTGGTTTGCCGAGGCTTCGCTCGTTAGCTGAAGGTACGCGTATATGCCGGAGTAATTTTCTTCCGTTATTGTTAGCGGATTATTCAACCCGATCGATGATCAGTTCTAACTGAAAACTTTTCCCCAAATACCGAATTTTGCTTCCAATTGTATGCAGTATGATTGCTTCTAACCAGGAATTTATTGTACCTTCAGTGGAATCAGTGGTAGTTCGGTGGTCATATATAGGTAATTTAGTTTCGGTTAATCGGGTTATCGTTGCAAATGGCGGAGTCGAGAGTTTAGTGCACTGTTTATATCCTGTAGTTGACGATAAGTGGTTCTTGTATTAACTGTCTTCAATTGAGATCTTGCTGCGGGGAAATGCAAATTACATGTATGTTTAGAGAGGAAGGTAACATATCTGCCAAGGGTAAACGTAGATGGACAATTATGTTCCAGTTAGTGGATGGTTATGGATTATCCATTACAGTAGTAGTTTTGTTGTAGAATTGTATTATGTTTCAATTGAATTTTCTCAACAGGAAATTCAAATTAGATATGTGGGAAATGTAATTCTGGATTGTAAATTAATTGACATTTTTATGGACAGGTAATCGAGATATATCCCTACTACAAGCTACCTTTCTGTTCCCACCTGTTTTCAGTTCCTTCTTATGGATGTTTGTGGAAGCTGTTAAAATATTCAAGTAAAAAATCTCTTACTGTTGCAGGCAAATCCTCGATGCTTGGAAATTCAACGAAGAGAGTTGGGAGTTTCATTAGGCCAACTTCGCCAAAATCTCCTGTTGCTAGTGTCTTTGAAAGCGTGGAAGGATCAGACGAGGAAGATAATATCATTGGTGATGGCGAACTGGATGCTTCATTAATGCATACTAATGGGGATACTGTGAGTTTATTCTCCATTTGCAAGCGTTTATTGGTGTTTGTGCCTTGCTAATATGTTGGAAGAAACAAAAATGATAAGGTGTTTGTGCCTTGATAAGGATATAGTTGGCATTACTGAAACAAACTCTTGGTATGCATAATCAGTTGTTCCACCTGGGTTATGATTTGGAAAGGGGAATAACAGAAACATGATACTTTCTTTTCTTTTGTATTGGTTTCATGTGCAGGCTCTGAATTTACCAGATCTTATGAATGGTAATGGAGAGCAAATAGGTATGGCTAGTGCAAATATTATTCGGTCTCACAGTGTGTCTCGTGATTTGCACGGCGTTCAAGCTGACCCTATTGCTGCTGATATACTACGGAAAGAGCCAGAGCAAGAAACATTTGTGCGTCTTAATATTTCTCCGATGGGTAATAACGATCTCATTCTGTTCTCTAGTAAACTCATCTTTGCACTGTGTTAGCTCTTGCAATTTGCAAATAAGCAATGATATGTCAGACCAGTAAACACAACTTTACAAAGCCTTCTGTAAGCTTTTTAACAAAAATTTTCCAGAGGTACCAACACAAGATGAAATTGAAGCATACGCGTGCGTACAAGATTGCCTTGAACTGAGGAAAAAATATGTCTTCCAAGAATTAGTATCTCCTTGGGAAAGAGAAATAATATCTGAGCCCTGCACTCCGAAGCCCAATCCTGATCCATTTGCTTATGTTCGCCAGAGAAAATCCGATGTGAGTTTGTACTTCTGTTTCCCATATTTATATTGACCTAAGGCTTTCACCTTTCTTTTCACTGTCCATCTGATACACATAAATTTTACCTTTTTGTAGCACTATTTTGAGATGCGAGATGGTGTTGTCCATGTCTATGCAAACAAAGATTGTAAGAGGCCACCACTTTTATTTGGTTTACTTTTCCGCTCTCACTTATGGTCAGTCGCACTATTTGTTGATGCTTATTTTTTCCTCTTGTCGTGCCTCTGTTTAATGCCAGCAAAAGAAGAACTCTTCCCTGTTGCTGATGCAACTGCATTTTTCACTGATTTGCATATTATACTTAGAGTTATAGCAGCAGGAAATATTCGAACTTTATGTCATCGTCGACTGGTTCTTCTGGAACAGGTATCTATGAAGTTGATAATGATCTCCTGAGGTGGATGCTGCATTTTCTTTCTCTCACTATATTGACACTTTGCCTTTCAATTTCAGAAATTCAATCTTCATTTAATGCTTAATGCGGATAGAGAATTTCTTGCTCAGAAAAGTGCACCACATCGTGACTTTTATAATGTCAGAAAAGTTGATACTCATGTTCATCATTCAGCATGCATGAATCAGAAACATCTTTTGAGGTTTATCAAGTCAAAACTAAGGAAAGAACCTGATGAGGTACGTCTTACAATCTCCCCCTCCTCCACCCCCCATATATATGTATGTGTAGAATGAGCACTCAACGCTAAGCAGCAAAACTGTCTGTGTCACAAAGCTAAAAGCGTTATTGTTTTAGGGAATGGGGGATGTTTTTAGCATGTTTTTCACTTGATTTGTTGTGCATAATGAGAGAGCGCGTTGTTATGTTATTTCATTGTATTTTTGCCTTTGATAATTCTCCTAGGAATTGCATGAAATGTTACATATATTTTCTGAACGTTTGTGTGACATGTTCTCCTCTTTCCTCTTGATGTGTTTTGTATGATCACAGTGGATGTTCTTTGACCTTGAGGCTTTTTTCCTCAGGTTGTTATTTTTCGAGATGGGACATATATGACCTTAAGAGAGGTTTTTGAGAGCCTGGATTTAACTGGGTACACAATGATCTTCTATTGTTTCAGCCATTGAGAGAGACATTATGGGAGGCATATCTTTAATTGCAATGTTTTCCTTGAAATGGAAATCATATTTGTCATTCTTTTGATTCTCTTCGTAGGTATGATCTGAATGTTGATCTTCTGGATGTTCATGCTGACAAGAGTACTTTTCATCGATTTGATAAGTTCAATCTGAAGTACAACCCCTGTGGTCAGAGTAGATTAAGAGAAATTTTCCTTAAGCAGGAAAATCTTATCCAAGGTAGGCAATCACATGATTTTACTCAATCACCGAAAGTAATTTCTACTGAACTTTATTCTAACTGTCTTGTACTTCTTTTTCACAGGGCGGTTTCTCGCTGAATTGACAAAGCAAGTGTTTTCTGATCTTGCAGCAAGTAAATATCAGGTTAATCTCTGTCCATTGCTGATTGATCATGCATGCTGGAATTCAATAGTCTTTATGTTTTGCTCATGTAATGTTCGCTGCAGATGGCTGAATATCGAATATCAGTATATGGTAGGAAGATGAGTGAATGGGACCAACTGGCTAGCTGGATCGTGAACAACGAACTATACAGTGAGAATGTTGTTTGGTTGATTCAGGTGTTCACAAGATATTGGATCTTTAACAGTTATCTATACTCAATTGATATTGTTAAAATGAATTATGATTTTTAGGATGGTTGACTTATATACTTATTGCTAGATATGGATTTATTTGTGCAATACATGATATCTGTACTTTTTTTTCCACTTTTCCAGCTACCACGCCTTTATAATGTATACAAGGATATGGGAACAGTAACATCCTTTCAGAACATCCTTGATAACGTCTTCATTCCATTATTTGAAGTAACTGTCGATCCAGATTCTCATCCTCATCTGCATCTGTTCCTGAAGCAGGTTTTCATTTCTTGACTTTGCTTATTCCAGTTATTGATGTTTCTGGTTTAGGCGACTACATAAGGCATATCTTTGAAGTTGCTCCTAATTGTAACTAATCTTCTATCTGCGAACTTAGGTTGTCGGGTTTGATTTGGTGGATGATGAAAGCAAGCCTGAAAGACGCCCTACAAAACACATGCCCACACCAGCTGAGTGGACCAATGTGTTCAATCCTGCATTTTCTTACTATGCATATTACTGCTACGCAAACCTCTACACCTTGAACAAGGTACGTTTCAGTTCTTTTTTTTTCATATATCCATTTGGTCTTCTATTTGGCTTCTTGTTCAAATAGAAGCCATGGCGCTCAACTTAGGCTGTGTAACTGATATGTCTACAGCGAAATGACAAGGAAAATGATCCTCATGTGGAATCATGGTAGTGTTTCCGTTATTTATTTCTTGTGACATCTACGAATTTCTGCTGCAGCTTCGTGAGTCGAAGGGCATGACAACAATCAAATTCCGGCCGCATTCTGGCGAGGTATTTATTCGTTTTCTTTGTATTCCATGAACAAGGTTTTGTATGAAGCTGACGGTTTCTTGAGTACTTCTAAAATATCAGGCCGGTGACATTGACCACCTTGCTGCAACTTTTCTCATTGCGAATAACATTGCACATGGAATCAACCTGAGGAAGTCCCCTGTTCTTCAGTATCTCTACTATCTGGCACAGGTCAGAAAAATCGCAGTAACCGGCATAAACCTCCTCATCTTAGACTTATTTTATGTTCTCAAGATCTTTGATCTTCTCCTTTTTTTTCCGTTATCAGATTGGTCTGGCAATGTCTCCTCTGAGCAACAATTCCTTATTCTTAGATTACCATAGAAACCCATTGCCCATGTTCTTTTCAAGGGGTCTCAATGTTTCTCTTTCAACTGACGATCCACTCCAGATACACCTTACGAAGGAACCTTTGGTGGAAGAGTATAGCATTGCTGCCTCTGTAAGCCTCTTCTTCTGTTCACTAGATACTGATATATACGTGTCAATCCATTCTTTAACGCAATGGCACAAAGCACTTATAGAAACATTGTTTGTTGATGTTCAAGTGGACTAGAGAAGCTTGCATGTATCATATTTATGGAAGTCCTTTAGATTGATGCACGGACTTGAATCCTGGTTTACACAAGTAAACCTTACATATACACACGTACGCGCGCACACACACACAATGATGAAGAGGTACACAGACGTATATGATAATTGATCGGCGAATCATATTCTTTCAGGTATGGAAATTGAGTTCATGCGATCTGTGTGAGATTGCTCGTAACTCGGTAATCCAGTCGGGTTTCTCGCACGCTTTAAAGGTAATTCCCCATGAGGCAGTCCCATTTTCATTTGGGCTGAAGTTTTGAAACTGAAGGAAATAATGAACGTTTTATGGTGTTAGATTGAGGCAAAAGAATTATTGGTTGAACTTTACTATTTTGGTTTCATTTTTCTTTATCATTTCACAAACTTTTTGTTGCCAACGTTAGTTGTGGTATTCGGGAGTGATGCCACAACTTGTGCTAAAACACACTGGTTAATTTCTATCCAGTCGCACTGGATTGGGAAAGAGACGTGACGGCTATTTCCGGCGGATACGGCGGAGGGGACGGGAAGCGCCCCAATGGCCCTCCGGTCCTTGTCGATGGTATTCCTTCTGGTTTGCCGAGGCTTTGCT